GTGAAAATGTGATGGTTGCTTAGGATCTACACTTTGTGACGTAAGAAAGTTTTCTCTGTAAAATTGAAACAGTGATAGCAATGTCAAGCACCCTTTTAATGCAATGTTTTGAAAGAAACAGTGTAGCAATTGTAATGAAGGGCAAGATTGGAGTCATACATTCATAATTCATTAATACACTGGTACATATTATGTACACTACATGCATACCTCACCTCATTGATATTGGCCTGTTCTACAATAAGCCCTAACTTTCCATGGGAGTTGTGAGCTAGACCGCTGCACCTCTCCTAAATTTTTTGTCCACCTCCCCCACTATTTTCACCAAAATCCGGCCTTGATTTGCATCTCTTTGCCTAGTTCTAAAATTAGTCTATAATGGAAATTGTCTATTTACATGAACACGAGAGACTTTTTATTTGACTTCCATTTATGAATATTAAAGTCTATAAATATTGTTATTTGTTGTTAAGTTGTTTTGTGATACATTTTTAAAACTACTGTTTTTTCAAACTGGTAAATATTTTCAAAGCCCCCCTTCTTTCGTCTCTCTGTATTTTTTCAAAGCCCCCCCTTTCAGGTTTTGAAAAATTTAAAGGCCCCCCCAGTTTCTCCTCAATCCCCCCCTGTACAATAAATAATGAGCGGTCCCTTAGTTTTGCTGTTTTGTTTTAAAATGCATGCGTTTGTTTTTACGTAATAAAGACCGCTGGTCCATTACGGGAAAATAATGGACCGCTGAAAGTGTTTCTTATGGAAGCCCAGGAGGCTCAGATCAACTTTTTATTTTAGTGTTTCAACTTTTTATTTTAGTTTTTCAACTTTTTATTTTAGTTTTTCAACTTTTTATTTTAGTGTTTCAACTTTTTATTTTAGTGTTTCAACTTTTTATTTTAGTGTTTCAACTTTTTATTTTAGTGTTTCAACTTTTTATTTTAGTGTTTCAACTTTTTATTTTAGTGTTTCAACTTTTTATTTTAGTGTTTCAACTTTTTATTTTAGTGTTTCAACTTTTTATTTTTGCGTTTTAACTTCTTATTTTAGTGTTTCAACTTTTTATTTTTGTGTTTCAACTTTTTATTTTAGTGTTTCAACTTTTTATTTTAGTGTTTCAACTTTTTATTTTAGTGTTTCAACTTTTTATTTTAGTGTTTCAACTTTTTATTTTAGTGTTTCAACTTTTTATTTTAGTGTTTCAACTTTTTATTTTAGTGTTTCAACTTTTTATTTTAGTGTTTCAACTTTTTATTTTAGTGTTTCAACTTTTTATTTTTGCGTTTTAACTTCTTATTTTAGTGTTTCAACTTTTTATTTTTGTGTTTCAACTTTTTATGTTAGTGTTTCAACTTTTTATTTTAGTGTTTCAACTTTTTATTTTAGTGTTTCAACTTTTTATTTTAGTGTTTCAACTTTTTATTTTAGTGTTTCAACTTTTTATTTTAGTGTTTCAACTTTTTATTTTAGTGTTTCAACTTTTTATTTTATGTGTTTCAACTTTTTATTTTTGCGTTTCAACTTCTTATTTTAGTGTTTCAACTTTTTATTTTTGTGTTTCAACTTTTTATGTTAGTGTTTCAACTTTTTATTTTAGTGTTTCAACTTTCTATTTTAATGTTTCAACTTTCTATTTTTGTGTTTCAACTTTTTATTTTTGTGTTTGTTTTTCTTTCCAAATATTTTTTTAAAATCATTTTTGCAATTTGCACAAAATGTTTTTTAAAAAAATTGTTTTTGAAATAAATTTTTTGGTGAGCATAGACCATGATGCATTGCGGGTTAAACAATATGGCGGATTTACCAGAGGATGTTTCTGCCGGTAACTAATTCAGCAAAACTATGCAAATAATTAAAGAAATGTATATTTTGTGGAGTAAAAAACATTATTAACCAAATATTATAGATTTGTATGATGGGACTAACGAAATGGTGAGAAAATTGAAATCGAAAGCCACGATTTTGCAATACTTGGAAAGAGAGTTTGGTTGTAGTTGGAGATTTATAGGACTTGATTACCAGCTCATTTTGCTTTTTATGATGTAAGTATTCTGTGCGCTTTTGTGAGATAATGAAGGTGCGTTATTTTTGAAAATTAAAGTGATGGATACATGTACTTTGTAAGTGGTTGATTTTTAAAGAAAGAGATATAGTTGAGAAATTATACAGTACACCTTTTCGAATAATACGTTTATATGAATGACTTCCTTCGCCTGTGAGTCTCATGTGTTACAATGTATCAGAATGAAGTGAGGGTGACATATTTGTCATATTCTGCACAGACTATTTATTCTTATCAAAATATGCACACAAATATGTTACATGTAACTAAGGCACAATGTGCACAAATCTGAGTGACACATCATATCAGAGAGGGCGCCTCTGGCTACCTCATATACATCTTGGTCCATTGTTTAAAAAATGCTGAAGTGCAAGATTAGTATACATTACACCATGTCTTCTGAGCTTGGAGCCTCATCCATCACCAATGGTAAGTGCACAGTTTTTGCATCTACTGATTTTTAAGCAGTGAGGTCCCTAAGAACTACCTGCAGTAGGTGGTCAACCAGCAATTATGTATCAAAGTGGGAAAATAATGTTAAGTTGTTAACATTTCTAAATTTGACCATCATCTGCATGCCCGTAACTAGCTATGAGTCAACCGAGTCAATTGACTCGGTAGGACTGAAATTGAAGGTTTGGACTGAAATTTTAACATTAGAGCCGTTTAAACGACAATGGAAATCACTGCGAGGCATTACGAGCATCGTACGATGGTTCACGAAGGGGTACAAAGGTATACGATAACGACGTTTACCGATGAAACGAAGAAACCTCAAGAAAGACAACCGCGGGAAGCAAATTTATAAATTTTCCCCCATAATATTACATTTGGGCCGAGTTTTAAACGTAAACATTCACAAGTCAGGGTAAGGTATTTGTAAATTCAAGACCATAGCTAGCCTTTTAGGCCTTCACGATTCACGGCACGCATATTAATCACGATTCACGGAATGGTATTTCTTGAAATCACGACGCACGAATAATTACTAATCACGAGTCACGAAAATACCCTTGCCCCCTCAATAATACTATACCACGCACATTTTCATTACCACATCATCACACCATGTTGCCTTATTGGGACTGGATTACATTTGGGAGACTGTGAAATAAGGTTATTTTCTTGTTGGAAAACTCCTCAAAATTCTGGAAATAGATTATCTGGGCTTTAAGAAATCCAAAATTTTTGGGGGGATGTCCCCAGACCGCAGGAAGATGATTAAAGTTAAGTGGGACGAACAACGAGCGAAGGCACAAACCGCCGCTTGGGGGGTCCAGGGGTATCCCCCCGGGAAGATTTTTGATTTTCAACCGTCTGAAACATGTTTACCTGCATTTATAGGGGTTAGAAGATGGAGCTGGGGTAAAGAAAGATTGAATCTTCCTCTGCGCCATACATCTGTATTAAGCAAACCCAAAACGTGTGCGGCGGTGCATTCACTTCGAGATTCATTTAAAAATTTTAGAGGCCTGATCTGCTGCCCTATGACGTATACTAGCTAACAAGGTTAAACCATTAATATATATGCTCGTAGCTGCAGTGATACAGACTCACCGACACGAACTTCTCCAGGTCCCCCGCTAAATATGTCCCCTCCAGTTACACATCCTAACAAAAGGTTTGATCTATGGTTATTTCCGCTGTTGTGCATAAATGGTTTTGTCAATAACACAAGTACAATAAAAAAGCTTCGTCAATAACATGAGTTCAATACGAAGAATGCCGTATAACTGCACGAGAGGATAACGACTTTATATGTTCATATCTTCGGTTCAGTGCACAATAGTTTTAGTCATTAATTAACAACATTGTAGCGATTTATGGCCTTTGAAAGTCAAGCGAGATCGTAGTAAATTATCAAATTACGTAACCGTCTGAACAGAAAAATCCTGTAAACTAGCCATACCTTTCGCAGAACATAACTTTGGCCCCTTGGACGAATCTTCTTTGTAACAGTCTTGTTGGAATCATTATCAATAACACTATGTATCTTCAAATTTGCATCTTTTATTACGGTATTTCCATTTCCGGTCAGACTGAGCTAATCCCAACCTGGCCGAAATACAATTTTAAAACATCAAAACAATGCGACGTTTGTGCTATGACTCTGGAATGCCAGAAATCGTCAAATCGATACCAAAGGTCAAAGTGCACTTTGTTTGTTACTTTATATTGCACTTCAGCATTTTGAAAACAATGGAGCAAGATGTATATGAGGTAGCCAGAGGCGCCCTCTCAGATATGATGTGTGACTGTCACTCAGATTTGTGCACATTGTGCCTTAGTTACATGTAACATATTTGTGTGCATATTTTGATAAGAATAAATAGTCTGTGCAGAATATGACAAATATGTCACCCTCACTTCATTCTGATACATTGTAACACATGAGACTCATAGGCGAAGGAAGTCATTCATATAAACGTATTATTCGAAAAGGTGTACTGTATAATTTCTCAACTATATCTCTTTCTTGAAAAATCAACCACTTACAAAGTACATGTATCCATCACTTTAATTTTCAAAAATAACGCACCTTCATTATCTCACAAAAGCGCACAGAATACTTACATCATAAAAAGCAAAATGAGCTGGTAATCAAGTCCTATAAATCTCCAACTACAACCAAACTCTCTTTCCAAGTATTGCAAAATCGTGGCTTTCGATTTCAATTTTCTCACCATTTCGTTAGTCCCATCATACAAATCTATAATATTTGGTTAATAATGTTTTTTTCTCCACAAAATATACATTTCTTCAATTATTTGCCACAGTTTTGCTGAATTAGTTACCGTCAGAAACATGGAAAAAGTTATTTCGCTGACCTCAGAATGACATTTCGTCAAAAAATTTTCTTCAAGATTGGTTTAGAAACAAACTTGAAGTAGGGTTAGGTTAGGCTTAGGGTAAGGCTTAGAGTTAGGGGTTAGAGTTGGTGTTTGGAATAGGGTTAGTGTTAGTAAAACCGTTGCTTGGTTACGTTTTGTCACTCTGAGGCCAGCGAAATAACCTCTTCCCAGAAACATCCTCTGGTAAATCCGCCATATTGTTTAACCCGCAATGCATCATGGTCTATGCTCACCAAAAAATTTATTGCAAAAATGATTTTCAACAAAAATTTTGAAAGAAAAACAAACAAAAAAATAAAAAGTTGAAACACAAAAATAAAAAGTTGAAAGACAAAAATAAAAAGTTGAAACACTAAAATAAAAAGTTGAAACACAAAAATAAAAAGTTGAAACACAAAAATAAAAAGTTGAAACACAAAAATAAAAAGTTGGAACACAAAAATAAAAAGTTGAAACACAAAAATAAAAAGTTGAAACACAAAAATAAAAAGTTGAAACACAAAAATAAAAAGTTGAAACACAAAAATAAAAAGTTGAAACAAAAATAAAAAGTTGAAACACAAATATAAAAAGTTGAAACACTAAAATAAAAAGTTGAAACACTAAAATAAAAAGTTGAAGCACTAAAATGAAAAGTTGATCTGAGCCTCCTGGGCTTCCATAGTTTCTCAGCCAATCACAGTCCGCCATTTCACCGGAAGTGATGCTTGCCATATAATAATACAAAATATATTATATATAGTATTAAATTGTGTCATATTGATCAATGATCATAATAAATGCAGGGAAAAGTTCAAATATTCAAGTCAATAGTATGAGAAGTATCTTCAAAGTAAGTTCTGTTCTTTTGAGCTGTTGATTGCTCCATTTCGTTATTTTGATCGTTTCTTTCTTGACTTTTGGGAAAAAAACCTTCAGAACAGAGAAAGAAATCGTAGATGAAATTTCTTGGACTCGGTTTTCTCGGCAGTTCTCGATCGGCAATTGATAGATAGTATACTTCAAAATAAGATTTCCGTTTTTATTCTATTTTTAAAATAAGTTAGGGTTAGGTGAGGGTTTATGTTAGGGTTAGGTTGGGGTTAGGGTTGGGTTTAGTGTTAGGGTTAGGGTTTAGTTTTGCGTTAGGATGGTTTTATCTACGTTATAAAAATGGAAACCTTATTTTGAAGTATACTATCTAGCAATCACCGTTCTCGATCGCATCCTTAAAGTATCTTGCCCATATCAACAGCAATCGTTGAGCGCAGTTTTTCGTCTCTACGACTTCTCAAGACATATTTGCGTCATCGAACAACTAGAGATGTTTGAATTCCTTGGCAATGATGTACATCTACGATACCGAACCAATTCACGATGATCGAAGACCGAGTTATCGAAAGTTTTGCCAGTCTGAAAAATCGACGTTTGTTGTTATGATTTAATCGACTTAACTCGGACCTCGGTGGTTAATAACAACATAACTTATATTATTAAGTCTTGCACAATTGCGTTCAGTTTTCTTTATAATACGCCTATACGCTTGTGGATAGGCAAACAATGGCGGTTCGTGTTTCACTGTCTAACCATCGAAAAGCTAAATGAAGTATGGCATGCAATTCTTACTTTTGATGGCTACAATTCGGAAATTTGTAGTTGGTCCTCGTCTAGTTGCCAAGCTTTTTCTAACCAATAATTTCCCCTCCCTTTTGCTATACGACTAAAGGGAGGGCCCTTCTGCATATAGTTCTTTTGCAGCAAACATATAACCACTACTATACCTTTAGCCTGGCCTCACGGCTCCCCTCTTTTTTCAGGTCTGGCTACGTCCATGGTCTCTCCAAAACGAGTTATTGTTTCGTTTAAATTTTTCAGTTGTTTACAACCTAAACGTCAATAAAAAGAATTTGAATCACTGAAATAAATATTCAAAGAAATATTCAGTGTTCTTTCGTTATAAACTGGAAGGCATTTTATTCTTTGTATGCGGAGAAATCACAAGAACAGAAGCACTAATGAAACTGATAGTTTGCGCGCGCGAACGAAATCAGGGTTTATCTTAAATTAATTAAACGTCAATAAAAAGAATGCGAATCATTGATGATGATGATGATGAAAATATTGAAAATATTGAAAGAAATATTCAGTTTAAAGATGTTAGATGTGAAACCAGGATTCATATTAAGAGTTTCAAACGTTCACTGGTTAAAAATATTTAGTGGCGAGCTCAGGGACGAACCTTGAAGGGGGGGGTATGGGGGGTGACACCCCCCAAATACGAATGATAATGATCTGGATTGGCAGGGTGAATCATCTGGATTGGCAGGGCATGCAATCAAAGTTTTACATGATAGAATATAGACTTATTAAGTAACTTACAGGGCTTTCAGAGGGAATTGAATAGAATTTATAGACCTTAATTTTTACAGATATTGGTGCAGGGCACCATCGGTTTTGGCAGGCAATTCTGGCAGACACCCCCCGAATCAAAAGGGGCTAGTTTCGCCCCTGGGCGAGCTTTCGACTGCCAGTCTGCAGTCTTCGACGGGTAGATTAAAGCGAATGATATGATATTTACAGTTTACAATTACAATATTATACCGACAACACCTACAATTATTGACAGTTCCGACTACGTATAGCCTATAGGATTAATGACTATTTACATTAATTGAAAAGAATTTAATGTTTTTAGAGTTTTTTGAGCAGAAAGCGGTATTGTTCTGGCAAATGTTTTGAATTATTATCAGAGTTTTCAATGCATGCAGTGTGCCAAGATTCTAATGTCGATTTGTGTCGATAGTTGCCTTTGTCAATAATTTTTCCAAATATATAAATATTTTTAACCAGTGAACGTTTGAAACTCATGAAATATTCAGCGTTGTTTCGTTATAAACTGGCAGACATTTTATTCCTTGTATCAGCTCTACGCAAAAATCACTAACGAAAACTGAAAGTTTGCGCGCGCGAATGAAATCACGGGGGAACTTATGAGTTATGAGATGGTTGCTTGGCAACGTAAAACCATCTTGCTCATGAAATGCGAATAAAAAACGATAAGATTGCCAGCGTCATTTGTAATAAACTAGTTTCAGGTCACAGTGTATTTCTTACCTTTGTTCTGTTCATCGTCCAACAAAGTTTTGGTCTCTCCAAAACGACCTTCGGTTTCGTTTAAATTTTTCTTGGCTGCCTCAAGTATACCATCGAGACTCGTTTCGTCTCCATAAATTCTCGGACCAACTTCTCTTCCCAGTGGAAATCCTCCACTTCAGCCATATTAGTTTTATCACAAAAAAGGTTTGGAAAATTTTAGCGAGAATCACGAAAAGTGCGCAGTCTCTGTCAATCAATTATAACAATCTACATTATGACATCACAGCGTTTTTACAGCTCGCGCCGGAACAAGGGATTGTGGGATATTCATTAGTACGCTGTTTGTGACGTCATTTATTGAAAGAAGAATAAAACTCTTGCATAAAACCGTTTTTTCACCAGGCAACTTTTAGTTTATGTGCTAAATGTGTCAACAAAGGGTCGTTCGCGTAACACAAATTAAATTGAAAGAAATTAATATTTAGCCATAAAATAATGGAAAACCCAATTCGTTTTAGGTCTGTTTGAGGGCAATTAAAGCACATGTTTTGAAATATGGTTTCAAACAACGACGCAATACATGCAGTAATCTAGTTTAGTAATGAACAGTGCTGAAAGAGATCTTGCAGCTAAGTTTAATAAAGTAAAATTAGTGTACTGTAATTTAGAAAGATAAGAAAAAGTGATAATTTAGAATGTTAGATAAGTAAAATAGATGGTTGCCTATTTAGGAAATGTTAGTCATCGCGAGTTCAGTCTGCAAACTTTTAATTTAGTAACATGTTGTAAACAATGTCATAGGCCTAGAGATCTACTAGAAAGCTAAGACGCTTTTGAATTAAGACCCCCAGCACAAAACCCCAGGTTACATGGTTGTGATAATTCTATATTTTTAGCCCGCATAGCATTGGCCCGCCCGCGGTTACTATTAAAACTAGTAACCCCAAGAGCAGGCGCGCCGGCACAATGCTATGCGGGCTAAAAATATAAAATTATCACAACTATATAACCTGGGCTTCCTGCCCCCCTCAGTTGTTAAAATATTAGTAAGTGCTAAAAAATGAGGTAGCTAATCCCAAATTACAATAATTTGTTATATTCTGTTAGCAGTTACAATGACTGTGAGCATTTCTTGACTTTCTTTTTGGAGATAATGAAAGATTTAAGGTTTTTAAATTTGTTTCACGCTCATTCCAAATATCAATCCCTGTACTAGTAAGGAAATGTTTAACATATATTGAGATTGAAAAGATTTCTTGTTTTGTAATTGTGAACATTGCTATTGTTTACAAACAAGTTGTTAAATGTTCCATCACGATGTGATGGTTTGGAAACTAAACAGAAGTAATTGTGTTGTTTTTGTGTGAGTTTTAAAAACCGCGCAATCAATTTTGGTCAAAATCTTTAACTTCGTAAAAATATTCACTGGGTCAACCCTCTTCAAATTCTGGTGTGGAACTTTTCTAAATGACAGTGCACTCTTGAAAATAAAACAAGAGAGCATATCGAAAACTACGTTGCATGTTTCAACATGTTCCCTTGAACCAGTAAGAAACACAGTTTAACAAATAAGACTTCCTCTCAGTCCACAACAATCTTTTGATATCTAATAGCCTGACAAACGCAGACAAGCTTCTGAGTTGTTGACACAAAAATATTGCTATACCAAATTATTGTAAAATTATCTTAAAAGAATCTATATCGTCTTTCAGACACTATGTTTATTTTCCAAATACATGTTCTATTATCCAATCAACTGTCACGATATTTTGGTCTCCTTAGATGGTGTCTTGATGTTCAAGTTGTATTATTAACACTGTGAATAGTGTGGATTGATTGTGTGGTGTTTTGTGGCTGTTACTGCCGGATAACTCGTTACAGATTGTCATTGATATGGCTTTGATCAACTCTTAGTTTCACCATTACTTCCATTGCAAGCCGTTTTCTCACTACTAGGACCATTCTCCACGATGTCTCCATGTTTTACAGGCATGAATAGTAAACAGTAAGGAAACAGAACATGACATCTTTTCTTATACTCTTCCACTTTGTCAGGACATTCGCCAAAACATCCAGTTTGCAAAGCATTCAAAACATCTGTAGAAACCTAAAATAATCTGGAGTGAAAACCTGGACTACTGATGCGTTACGAGATGGCGGGCAACTTTAGAACTGCGGACACTGAGAGGAGAAAGAAACAACATCTCTATTTATTGCTTATTATAAACCATGCAAACAAATAAATATTCTGATAGCTGCATGGTAGTTGATCAACGATCACCTGCAGCATGGTAAAGTAAACTAGTATATACAGGGTGTCCTCAAAAAAGTAACACTATATAGAAATTATCCTATTGTTATAATTTGAATGCCTGAGCACTATGCTGAACACACGAGTGCGTAAACACAATTGAATTGAATTTTTAATTATACAGGGTGTCCCAAAAAAACCCCGAAAGCTATTGAAATCACTTATTGTTAAATTTGAATGCCCTACCAAACAGCTGGACGTAATGATGCGTAAAATATTGACAAGGTGCATGTATTAGAATTTAGTTAGGAATATCTCCTGGTAAAGTGCGCGATTTTCT